TTCCCTCCCTTTACTGATATTATTAAAACGTGTTATTTTACCCTTCTCAACTAAAGGATGTTATAAAATCACTGCAAATACATGATACGCCTGCTTTTTAGTAAATACAACCAAATAACTCAGTATCAAGTAGTTAGGAACACAATTATAATAATAATAAACAGCATCCAGGGTTTCAGCCCTACGATTAAATCCAGGTTCTGGGTGTTATTGTCCCGACAAGACTGCGGCCAGTGCAGCATTGACGCTTCTACATCCGAGTCTTCTGTCACTTCATCGTTCCTGTCAGAGTTCACTTCAGGTCCCACCAGTGGGTGTCTGGACTCCATGATCGCCACCATGGTCTTTTCATAGCGCCACCAGCCCTGGATTTTGGTCGGGGCCGGAGCATTTGGCGATCTCTTGCACTTGTAATACGCACTTTTGAGAAGTTTCCAGCGAAATTTTAACTGATCCACGGATCGGTGGTAACCGGCAGCTGTCATTCTCCTGTGAGCTACCTTAAACAGCGTGTTGTTCCTTACTTTCCTTCCGTCCAAACACTTCTTCATGTCCAGATCCTTCAGGATTTCGAGGAATAGCTCCGTCTCCTTCACGTCCCAATTCTGCTTCTTCATACATGCCTCATCCATTGCTTGGAAGGGAAACAAATCCCTAGGTGTAGTTAGCTCGAATATTAGCGTTTGCTAAAATCCACCGAGGCTCCTAACCAGCATCTCTGATGTGGCAAGCACAACCGTGCAATGGCTACCTCGACACCCAATTTAACACAACGGCTGTAAAATTAAAATTCAATATTAATATGAAAATACATCCTCTCAAAACAGAGTCTCCTGCAAACCTGCGTTCGCTCCTGCAACCAAGCTAGAGACAGCGAGAAAATAATCCAGAAGAGATTAGATTAGAAATACAACGCACGTGTTTCTTGTTTAGTGGACAACAAAAAACTTACACGGAGTGACAGACTAAATAATTATTTTAGGTTAAAAAAAAAAAGAAGTAATATGTGGTTATTCACCTTAGCTTTTATCCAATTCAAAGATGTCCGAAGATTTGAAAAATACAAAACTGAGGTTAAATTTTAACTGCCAACGCATCGGTTCAACAACCTCCAAACAGCCAAACACCGCAGTTGAATCGGAGAAGGCGGAAAAAAACTACTTCCTGACAGAAAAAAACGTAAGTGTACGTAAATGAACTTCATGTTTTTCTTAAACACGCACACACTTCAATACACATTTTAATGATTATGCTTAAGGAATAAATAATGTTTACTTTTAAGAAAAACACAATTTCTGGTACAGAAAATTTGCATTAATAACCTATTGAAGTAAACGTATTTTGTCTGTGTGCATGTACAGTATATACAGTATGTGTAGGTGTGTGTATACATTCATATAAGTATGTATGTCGTATTGTATATGTATCTTTAATACAGCCTTATGTTTACAACGCTATAGGTATGAAAACAGCCACTGTTATCGCACATTCATTTTTAAATTCTTTATTTAGTCCATACACATTAAATTAATACTACACGGTAATCTTAAAAACAACTACATAACTAAATTATCATTTAAAAGTAAGATGGAGAATTTAGTTTTTAAAAATTATTTCCCAGCATCAAGTTTTCATCTCACACCAAATAATGTCACTTTTCTAAGTTCAACATTTTCATTTGTTTGCTGGTTTATTGTTTGTAGTGCGATTAACTGTACACAAAATTTTAAAGGAAGTTTTTTAATCTACCAATCAATTTTATGGTGTGGCAAAAACAGGATATAATATGAATTATTAGAATTACCTGCTATGACCTTGGTGACCAAACCAAGCTCTCTTGCTCTCTTGCGCTCTCTTGTGGGACGCGGGGAAAATTCATATTTTCACATTTACATTTACATTCCATTTGAATAAATCTGAAACATACCATGCACAATTAATACAACATTCAGAAAAATATGTAGCTACATGTGAGATTATGAAATAGGATGACTGGTCTTTTTATTTATTTACTTGTTTTTTTGCTGCAATGCATGTCTGTTGCTCACATAAGCACAGGGAGCACGGAATCATGGGATCACTTGCAAATTGAATGTGGAACGGGCAGTGGAATTCTAATGTTGGTCATCTTGGTGGTACTTGGAGAGCTCAATGTTTTCTCAGGTGGCACAGAGTATAAAAAGTTTGAGAACCACTAAACTAGATGATTACCCTTATCAGACATACAGTAGCTATTTAATCACATAACCTGATATATTCTACCTCCTCCTGACCTTTCTTTTGAGTAAATATTAACCTTTCAGCAATACAAAACCAAAAATATGAATAATTCACTACGTTAATCTTCTCAAAGTTTTATAAGACCATCTGTGTTTTCTATCTTTGAAAAGAATGTGGCAAGGCAGGTAGAGTTATGTTTTGAGCTCACGGTTTGTACCATGAGGAGATGAAGATAAATATTGCAGATTTTTCTCAGATAACCATGTCAGTAAACTCAAATGAAAAAAAAAAGAGAAAAAGAAAAGCTGACCTAAGGATGAACTTTAAACATAAGCTAACAGATTTTTGGTTTTATAGAAGCCTCAACAGCTTTAGTGAAATTCATCCAGGAAATAGTTAAGTCATAGCTTTGCTTATAATTTCTTTAAACAATTCAAACTGGGCTCATCCTTTATTTGCCATTACATTTTATGAAATTCATATTTTTTAATTGGTTGCTCACTGTTGTTGATAAGTTGCCGACAGTTGACTATAAATCGTTTGTTGTCTCCCTTTTTTATTTGCTAGTACAGAGAACCAGTAATAGAAGTCAGAGATTTTAAACAACATTGATACACCGTAGACCAGGGGTCACAAACCTTTTTTTTTAAACCGAGAGCTACTTCAAGGGCACTTAGTACTACAGAGAGCTACTTGTTTAATACAGACTTCACAAACAATGTAATAATAATCTGTTCTGGGACATAAAATAGCAGACGCTCTCGTTACCATTGTCATTGCACCCATTCGAATATTGTTGCAAGTGTAACTGATTCAAAAAGACCCTCTTGACCCTCTAGTTTTATTTTAAGAACATAAACTGTGGGCACCTAGTCCATGGGGACTACCAGGCACCCCCGGGCACGACGTTGGTGAACTCTGCTTTAAACGTTGATGTAGGCCTTTTTACCAATTGTTTTTGTACAAATTGTTTGTGAAAGAGCAATACGAGCAGTACAGAATGTTTGAATTAAAGCGATTGGGTCAGGTTTGACGAGACAGAAAGCGAAGCAAAAGACCTGATTATCTATGGACGTCATAAATATTTGAATTTGTTTTTTGTCACTCATGTGTAACATGAGATCTGAGCCCTCCTGCAGCGCCACATTCTTCTTGATCATAGGATTAACTGGGTAAATGTATTCGATAAAATCGCCTCACATGTCTAAAAGAATTCAGCTAATACAAGTGACAAGCCCGCTTAAACTTTTGCAAAGTCTTATGTGACTCAGGTCAAAATTTCATGAAAAGTTTTGGATCTCAATTATTAATTGCCATCCTATTTAAAGGAAAATGAGGTGGTTGATTTTTTTTTTACCACACAGCACCATATTTATGCAGTTACAACCAAAACAGAAACAGTATTAAATCTTTATTATTCTAAATTATATTAGATGTTCATTCTTTCAATGGAAATGAAATGTAAAACATTCTAAATATTAAAGTCTCCCTTTAATTATATATTAAGCTGTATGTTAAATTATATCTAAAATGATACTTTTTGATGAATCATTAAACATTTGGTTTTGGATTAGAGTTGTTCTAAATTCCTTTGTAACCATCAAATGGGAGAAGCCATGTTCTGAATGGTCACCCTACAATAGCACACCCTTTTCCTGATACTGTTAGTCACGCATCTGCACCTGAAAGCTAACCACTGCACGGTATATAAAGAGTTCAGCTTCCAGTACTAGCCTTCAGTACTAACCTTCAGCTCAAGATGAGGCTCCTTTCTCTGATGTTCATCTATGCTTTCTTCAGCACAGGTAATGTTATTTCCACAATACCGTTAATGAGAAAATATAAACACTACTGACAATAACCTGTTTCATGTTTGTCTTATTTGTTTGAGGATATTAAGTGTATCTGCACAACAAATAACAGACAGACAAACAATATATTTATTTATTATGTTGTATATTGCACTTTTACCTTTAAAGCCTTTGTGTACTATAACCTTCTGCAGCTGGAGCACTCTCTTGTCATGTTTGCCAGAGTTTGTCATGTGAACAAACAATTTCAGCTTCATGTCCCGAACAAAATATGTGTGCAACAGCTGGGCTAAAATGTAATTTTACCTTTTTACCTTTAAAATTTTCAATAAATTATTTTTAATAGATTTTTAGGTAATGCTTTAGGTAATACCAACTGAATCTTCATCCTGCAGATACTGCCTTCGGAAACACTGCGCAACAAACCTTGAAGGTCTGTGCGTCATCCTCCTTGTGTCAAGTCGTAGGGACCCAGGAATTTTCACTGAACATCGATTTTGTCAGTGCCCAGGCTTCTATTAGCTGCTGCAACACAGACAACTGCAACCAAAGAAGTCCAGCTAGTAAGTATTTTGGACATTTACAACTCTTACAAACAACTTAAAGGCAACGGGTATTTATAGATCCTGTCAGTGCAGTAGAGTAGAATGTAAATGGGGATCAATACCAATGAGTTCCACTAGAGAAGGAAGTTGAGATGTTGGAACAGAATACTGTCAGGCAATTTACAGTAGCATCTGCACCGACGCGACCGTACAGTTAAGCATTAAATCCTGTCTCTCAGTCCAGTTTACTTCACAGTTTCTTAGAGACACAAATAGTTTCTCCTGTCTGCTCAGTTAGCCCGGTCCTGTTTCTAGTTTTTCACTCAATGCTAGGTCACACAAGGGAGAAGTGACAATTAAGAGCTTTCTATCTGCTTCACATCAGCAACATGTTCCTCCTCGCCTTCTTCTATCAAACTGTTTGTCTATATTTGTTTCTTATATAAAGGAGGAAAATGTTTACTGAAGAAAAGTTTAACTTTGCTCCCCTTACCTGTTTAATTTCTGGTAGATATTTCTGGAGATCAAGCTGTTAATGGTCTTAAGTGCATGGCTATAAATCCTACACAACAACAGACAACAGTGGAGTGCAAGGGAAAAGAGAATCGTTGCCTAGCAGCAGGACGTGAGTCTTTTTTTTTTCTTTTTATGTTTTACAAACTAAACTTAAACAACTATACATCGTAGCCTTTACACCATTACCTGGCTGCCCACTGCTCACCTTGGTGATGGGTTAAAAGCAGAGGCTCAGTTTTGTTGTATCCCCGTGGTACAATGACAATACAGACCATAAAAAAAAAAAAAACTACTTTTAATAGGTCCAAAGCAAAGGCTCAATCTGGTTTAAATTTGAAAATGTGTCTTGCTTATCATCCATTTTCATACTGTTTTTGAAAAGATAAAAAACAAACAGTATTTTTTTTTTTTTCTAGTGTCAGTGTATTCAAACCAATATTCTGCCTATGGTTGTGTGTCTGACAACATGTGTCAAGCTGCCACCTTACTGAACGAACTACCTAACTTGGACTTTGTCAACATCACAAGAGAACCAACCTGTTGCGAGATAGATTTATGTAATGCACCTACTTCCTTACAACCCTCCACCCCTCACCCCCCGACTACCAGCAATGCCGTCTATACCAAACAGCATGTGACCTATCTGCTAATTGGACATCTGGTCTTAACTCTACTCAAAAAGTTGTAGTGAAGAGAGTTCAATCTTTTGAGTGAAAAAGACTAGACTATCTAGAGTCAATGCTTTATATATTTGCTCAGATATAAGTAAATGTGCATTTGAATAACAACAAACGTATAAGTTGCTTTGGATAAAAGTGTCTTCTAAATCCTTAAATGTAAATGTTATGACATTGCTCTAAATGTTATTCTTGTGTTTAATCAACAAAACCACAATAAACCAATGCATAAAAATAACATGCTCTATACGTACGTTTGTTGTGTATTCCTTATAAAGAATGATTAAAGTGATTGTGTCAATACATTTGGGATAAAGATTATGTTTGAGTGGGACAGCATGGGACACGTCATTTGTTCACAAAATGGTATCAAATTGGGATTAGACTAGAAGAGTATTATAGTTCGAAGAGTAAGCCATTTCTCCCGTAGGGGGCGACAGAGCACGGGTGAATTGAAAACACAGAAAAAAGGCTGATAATTAAATAAATAATTATTTAATAATTATATGGTAATAAAGTGTTCGTAGTGCATTGACTGATTAATTTATTGGGTGTTATTTACAAACATCGTTGTGTGCTGTAAAACCAGCCAAACTACAGTGAAACTGGAATTAAACAGTCAGCGTTCTAACCAAATGTATGGCATTAGTTGCTAAGACACACACAACAAATAAGTGAACCTTAACAATTAAGTTACAGTCAATTGTGTGGGAATTGAAAGTGTGGCTGCTTCTTCATTGGTCTATTCATCCTTGATAATGATGATGATTTATCATCTGTCATATGACTAATCAAAGTTTTTGGTGTGACCAACACTAGCGTCAAGGTGTTTTTAAAGCTCCTGTATTTATTAAATAACAATGTGGGTATCGACTGTGTATTATAGTGGGAAGACGGTGGAATTATTGGATATACAGTGCACATCGCTCCGCCTAGCTGAAGCTCTAAGGCATTCGTTGACGAACTTCCCATCAGCAAATGCTTCACTCTTTGGCACCATTGTGCAGGATATAAAGCAGGTCCAAAACATTCATTGACACAACTGAGTGAAGGTGCATTAGTACTTTTAGTAGGTGTTACAGGTTACGTAGTTGTTACATTGTTTTGACTTTTGATTCAACAACAATGTCATGCGGGCTGGTTGCGCTGGGTGTATGTAGACTTTTTTCTACTTATGTCATCAGGCTAACAACACAGGGTGCAGTTTTTCACCTTATCCTGACTTCTCTTGTGTAGTTTCTCTGTTCAACAGGAAGCATCTTCAAGCCGCAAACAGGACGGACGACAGTATGATGGAATGGCGTTTCTGTCAGTTCACAAAGTTCAAATAATTTACTTTTCCTCTGTTTAAGAATGGCATCCTCTTTCATACACATACAGTAATAACCAACAGGGGGCCCATGGGCCAAATCTGGTCCACGAAACAAACTTATCTAGTCAGTGTCTAGATTCCAAAAATAAACATCAAATAATTATGTTAAATAACAATGGTAATTTTTATTTCATTTGATTGTGTGTCTGGTCCCCCAACTTGTCTATCCAGAAAAATTGTACCCCTCTGACAAAAATGGATGGTGATCCCTGACCTACAGTATGAACAAAACAAAAGAAACATGAAGAAGCAAGTGGGAAAAAAACACATTTTATCCGAATTCTGCAGAGATTCATTAGGAAGGAAGGAAAGGAAAGTAAAGAAAACTCCTTGTCATTGTGACACATACCACTGCACACAACCAAACGTGACCTCTGCATTTAACCCATCACCAAAGTGAACAGCTTTGAGGTGCCCAGGGAGCAGTGTGTGGGGATGGTGCCATGCTCAGTGCACCTCAGTGGTAACTTGGCAACTGGTGGATTTAAACCTAAAACCTTCCAGATCCAAGTCCGCTTCCTTAACCACTGCCACCACCACTGCCACTGCTTATGTTAGTGATATATTAATTAAGAACCACGTGACAGGCTGCCCTCCCCCTTAATTCCCACTCTTCCCTCAGTTTTAAACAGAAAGACGTTCAGCCCTTATTTTCTATTTATTTTATGTGTTGTTTTTTTTACAGGCAATAGTTTTTTCAGAGAGGATTGTTGGACTTTGTTTCATGTGTAAGTAGATCACTCTTATCTGAAATTGATTTATTTTGTAATCTTGGATTATGACACTATACCTTTTCCCATCATCTACATCAGGTTTTGCCTAACTATATGTTATACAGATTAGTTTGACTCAAAATAATAGACCAGAGTTAAATATTTTAATGATGAATTAATACCCGCTGCCCTCAGAAGAATAACCCATACGTATATGTTTTTCCTTTCTTGGTAAAAAATAAAGAATTAGACAAATTCATGAAATGGAACTTTTTTGTGAAATATTTAATTTCCTGTTGAGTATTGCAGTCATGTCAGTCATACAATGTGTTCAAATGTTACATCTGTAGTGATTTTCAAAAATGTCATAGGTTTGTACATTTAAAAAGAAAGTTAAAGATACATAAGGATACTTATGGAGTAAGAATTAGAAGTTAGAATTATTAAAATACACTCACTGTCCCACTTAAATAAAACAAATAAATAAAATGATTTAATATGGAGAGCCTTGGAAATCAAACCCCGACCATCCATCAGGTGACAGACGGCCTTCAAGTTCTAAAGGATGGTAAAAAGAATAACTCCCATCATGAGATGTAGTACACCATGTCTGATGTAGCTAAAGGCACCAGAGGTTGTTGTTGTTGTTTGTCCAGCAGTAGTAGTTATGCCAGGGATTGTGGTAACACCAGTGGCTGGTGGTGTAGATGTTTGTGCAACAGTTGAAGCATCAGTAGCCCCGGCAGCTGTCGTTACAGCAGCTGGTGTCGTTGCGGCAGCTGGTGTCGTTGTTGCAGCTGGTGTCGTTGCGGCAGGGGTTGTAGTTGCGGCAGATGGTGTCGTTGCGGCAGGGGTTGTTGTTGCGGCAGATGTTGTCGTTGCGGCAGTTGGTGTAGTTGCGGCATGTGTTGTAGTTGCGGCAGATGGTGTAGTTGCGGCATGTGTTGTAGTTGCGGCAGGGGTTGTTGTTGCGGCAGATGTTGTCGTTGCGGCAGGGTGTTGTAGTTGATGCAGATGGTGTCGTTGCGGCAGGTGTTGTAGTTGATGCAGATGGTGTCGTTGCGGCAGGTGTTGTAGTTGATGCAGATGGTGTCGTTGCGGCAGGTGTTGTAGTTGCGGCAGCTGGTGTCGTTGCGGCAGCTGGTGTAGTTGCGGCAGGTGGTGTAGTTGCGGCAGCTGGTGTCGTTGCGGCAGTTGGTGTAGTTGCGGCAGCTGGTGTCGTTGCGGCAGCTGTTGTGGTTTCTGTAGTAGTTGTAGGCATGAATAGTCAATAGACAAAAAAATCTTGTCATTTAAAAATGTAATACTAAATAGATTTTCTAATGGGAATTATTGTAATTTGAAATAACTATGCTCAAGTCTAACGTTTCAGGTTTTTTGTATTTTTAAATTTTGTATTTCGATTGAGCAAATTTTCTTTTTCTTTCTTACTTTCTTACTTTGAGTTTTAATTCAGCTTCTCTTTTCCCTTCCCTTCTAAATAGACCAACCATCCTCATGTCCTGCTTTAGTATTACATGAACAGACAGCAGGATCTATCTATACCACTACCTCATCAGGAGACGTCTAAATCACCTCTATGTTTGATCACCTCAGCCCTGTCTTAAATACTCGTATTGTCTTTAACCATACATTGCAGCAGGTCCAGCTTTCTACTTAAAAACCTCGGCTTCACTACTGCTACAACCCTCGTGTCCCACGTCAGTCCTGTGACTGGAGTCCACTACTCCAGCCTGTCTTCTTTTATTGCCTTCTTCACCCCTATTGATCACTGTGAAGTCGATCATGAATTCTACATGTTTAATCTCATAACTCCTTGGCTTTTTCCAGTAAAATCTTGTCTGGGTTCAATTTAAAAAACCCATTAGTTTTCTAGTGTAACAACTGGAAAAGAAAATGGTCTTACCTAGGAAAAGAGCCCCCATGAGAGTGGTGTATAGAGCAGCTTCATCTTGATGGTCAAGATTGTGTTAAGTTTGTGGGTAAGGCACAGAGGTGCGGAGGCTCTATATATACTGTGCCAGTGTTGTTACAGTCACATACTGTATGATGCACATTCAAACAATTCACATGTTGGGTGTGATATCATTAAGAGCGTCAATCTGTGTTTTGTCACAAGAAAACAATGCGTCAAAACATTCCTCAACAAAATTACCTCATCTGTTTATTCATGTGCTTCCTGAATACTATAAAACATATGTTTTAGCCTACTGTACTTAATATGTATTTTGCGTTATTATATATAAACTATATATATACTTGGAAACGATCAACAATTACTTATTATTTGACTATTTTTTTTTCAAAGTTTATTGATTTCAAAGTAATTTCCTAACATAGTTAACTATTATTCCTCTGAGTTAAATGCTTTAAATGTTTTTTTACTCAGTGTCTTGAAAGTGGCCAACATTAACTGTTTATTTCAAGTTTCTAATTTTCAGTTTTGTTTCAACACATAACAGACTGGAATTAAACCAAATGTCTAATATTATACAGGTAATTATTTAAAAGCAAAATCCCACTATATGTTGAGTCACCACAGTTATCAGATTTTTTTTGTTATTTTATTGTATTTATTTTATTCTCATTTTAATTTTATGTAACAGTCCAGCAATTTTTACTGTATTACACATTGGCCTGCTTTATATTGCTTAATTCTTCCATGAGTTGTTCGTTGTTCCATTGCTTCCATTGTTTCCATTGTTCATTGAGTTTAGGAAACATCGATTATGACCGGTGATGAACGTCATCTGTTGGTGCTGTGATCTATAATATCTCTGTCACACCTGACGTTGCGTCAATGCTGGTCAACTTTGAGGAATGTTGTACAACTAGAAGCTCACCTGTTCATTCACTAATATTGTAATTTAATAACGTAAATTAACACCAGACATAAAAGAAAGAACATCTGTGGACAGTCTTTTGCTGTATTTTTTAATGGTGGTCATTAGTGGATGTCTCTGTGAATATGTTAGTAGCATTAATGGGCCTTTGTCTCTTTAGGCTTTGTTTAGAAACTGGACAGCAGACTTGAGTAAGCTAGTCTTTGTGAGGCACAGGAAAATCTTACTGTCAGGAGTGGCACACAAGTATGTGAGGGTGGCGTAGAACATGTATAAAAACAAAGAGAGATCGTTAACATCCAAGAATTTTGGGGAAAAAGTGCAGCTTAAAGTCAACGTCTTCACAGCATGTTTTTATTCTAAACATCAAACATACAGGGTTCTCTGGCTTCAAAGCACAGATTTAACGGTCGTTCACTTAACACAACACTTGACAGCAAATTTAGAAGACAAAGAAGTGTGACCTCAGTGCTTTGGGAAAACGAGTGAGCCGTGCTGTGAAAATGGAAATGGTACTGACTCAAATCACACAGGCAACAACAGACTGTCAGTTTGTCTTTTTGGGTCATTTACCAATATACCCTACTGACGGTTATTTCTGTATAAAAAAAAAACTCCAGCATTCAAAGTTCTTCTTTTCTCTTCAGGATAATCTGTCGCACCAGTTCAGAGATTTTTGGCCGGATTTCTTTGACAGAAACTTTTGGTCCCCATGCATCCACCACTTCACCGTTTACATCAATTAGATATTTCCAGAAGTTCCAGTCAGGCTCCCTTCCAGAAGTCTCTGCAGAAATATAGAAAAAAGCCAATAAAATAACAAATATATTCCGAAAAGAGTCATAATCAGATACATCTCCATTCACATGGCTAAAACCATTTCCACCTATGTTTCTCCCTTCATTTCTTACTCACCAGCTAAGTATTTGTACACATTGTTGGCTCCAGTTCCAACCACAGCGATTTTACTGAACAGAGGGAAGGAGACGCCGTAGATTCTGCGAACAAAGCTGTCAATCTCCTTGTCACTGCCCGGTTCCTGCTGCCCAAACTGGTTGCAGGGAAAAGCCAGCACGTTAAAGTGATATGGCCCAAAGTCCCGCTGTAGCTGCTGCAGGTCTTTGTAGTGTTCCTCTGTAAAACCACACTCACTGGCCACATTCACCACCAAGGACACCTGAAGTCACAGACAATATTGTAAACAGATTAGTACTATATATATATATATATATAAGTTATACCCCCTGTTAAGTCTCACGAGTCCAAGGTGTGTGTGATATACAGTAAGCATTTAAATCCAACAAAAGAGCAGCAATTCAGGTCAGACTTGACTAAATGTCGATAAAATGTATTTGATTTATTTATAATTAAAATATATATCAAACATTGTTTTACATTTTGACAAGGGGCCCCTGAGCCAGGCTTTTATTATGCTTCTCAGGTAAGTAAAAAGTTTTATTTTTAAATTGCTATTTATTACATTTAAGGTTGTATATATAATAAGATGTAAGTTCACTTAGTTCATATGAACGTTTTATTACACAATTATCATACAATAGGGGGCAGTGGCTAAGTGGTTGAGGACCCCAGACTTGGGTGCGGAAGGCTTCAGGTTCAAATCCACCAGCTGTCAGGTTACTACTGAGGTTAATTGAGCAAGGCACTGTGCCCACACACTGCTCCCAGGGTGCTTAAAGCTGCCCACTGTTCACTTTGGTGATGGGTTAAATGCAGAGGTCACATTTGGTTGTGTGTGCTGTGTCACAATGATAAATAATTCACTACAAATATTTTCATATTATCTAACATTTTCAGCAGTCAATATTGTGTAATGATCATAACTGTGTTTTACAGAGACTTTTATTCAGAATCACCGATCAGATGTCGTTTGGATGTTTAATCTTTAATTCCTGCTTTTTCATTACACATGTCAGTGAAGTGGTCATGGATGTAGAAGAGCTGGGTGCAGGTTAGTACATGCTACAGTTCCATGCTTATTCTTGCAGTTGAAGAAAGCCAATGTTAGTTGGTGGATAATTTCTCTGAAGTCCTCTTTCCCATCAGCCACCTGACTAGGTCATTCCAAGCTACATAAATGAGAATAAATTCATAAAGATACATTTATAGTGCAAATGAATGAGAAGAATGCTGAGAAAGCACTGATGATCAACCTGGAGCTTGTGAAAAGGCCCTTCACATAAACTTTTAAGCTACATACCGAAGATTCCTAAAAAGCGCCAATGTTACAAAAGTCTGTATAAAAAACTTTCTTATGAAGTGAGAATCAAACCTGTATCGTTCCAGAACCATTGAGCTGTATGTATGGAGCTCCCCCTGCTGCAGCAGCACTGCAGGACTCTTGCCACGTAAGCCAACAGGTCTACATGATGAGACACTCAGATCTATACGACCAAACCGGGTTACTGCAGGATCCTACACGTTCAACTGTTAGTCACACCTACAAGCAGTGCTAAAGTGGGAGAGGAAATAAAATGAAGCTAACATTCCCATGCAACACCTATTCACGCAGCAGTATGACTTGTACTGAGAGCCAGTACAGTTCCCATCATCACCGAGGTCAACTTTATTTTCATTCGATCAGAACCACACTCACCGATCCCCGGTATTTCTCCAGGGCCACCAACTTCCCTCTGCTGTTGACAACTTTAAAAGTGTAAAAATCTTTCTTTTTGCCTTCGCTGAGGCTCAGTAAAGTCAGCAACACTGTAATTACTCCAACAAGCATCATGTTCAACGCAGACTGCCAACGCAACAGCAGAGAAGAAACTCCGGAGAATTTCTACGGCAACTGAACAGCTCACCCTGACTCAAGTTACACAGAGAAAAATAACGGCGCATCCGGTTCTGGACTGTTCCTGAGATACAAAATAAGACGCACAAATTCAATCAGTTTCTGCGAAAATAAAAATCTGTTTTTATATTATTGGGTACATTCTAAACAAGAAAGGAAAATATTTTTTGAATGCGAAATTATTGCCCGGTAGTATATCGAGGCTTTTCTTTTTAGACGTTCTCGAAGTATTAGCAGTCAATCACTAACTGTAAAACATTTCCACGTGTAATTTGAACCATGAAAAAGAAAACATTTTACCCGGCCTGCAAATAAAAGCATTATTTTAAAGTGAACCTATTTTAATACACAAGGTAAATTTAATCTTAGTACAAAACATACACATTTCATGTATGAAGATAGAGATTAGATGGATAAACTCCAGATCAGTTGCAACATGTTTAAAGGATGTTAAACTGCGTAATTAAGTGAAACTCCTCTATGAATTTTATGTTGAAATGGTCTGAAACTTAGAAGATATAGTTTTAACTTTAATACGCCAGCTGATGCTTATTTCCAGAGCCACACCTGAAGGCAGCACGTAACACGCCCCTTTTCATCATCACTGGCACTCCCACAATGCAGCGGGGTAATGTAATAACATGGCGTCAGTGGTCGCTGTTTTGACCAGGGCCGTGGACCAGAAAAAAACATGATGCACAACAGAACCGTGGACACAGATGAAGTATAGTCAGAAGAAACGCTCAAAGTCTTAAAATTAGTTTGTACGCAATTTTGTGCGTTGAGCCTTTTAGTATTGTATTTCTTTTAAAGACTTGCTTCTGTGAGGCAGCTGGTTGCCAGTGTTATTTATTCCCCGTTAGCTAAAAGCTCAGTTGGGCGACCGGGCTAACGACAGTTAGCTCTCGGGGACGAATAGCGGTAAAGTCGGCTTAGCCGAGGAGCAGGAAGTTCCCCCGGATGTCACGGTAAATTCCTCCAACAACACGGAGTCTGCACGTCTGCTCCTTGGGTTTTTTAATGGTGAGTTCCCCCCTTTCAGTCGATGGTTCATGTAAGCTTTTGTTTTTTTCCTCTGGAAGTTGTGTCGAAGTATGCCACCCCATAGTTTCTGTATCCCCAGGACAACAACAATCAGGTCTGACCACAAAAAACCTGGTCTGCGAAGACCATTTTTTATCAACAAGTTGGAATGAAGCCCTGACTTCGAGCAAGCTTCGACACGGCATCACTGTTGTCTCCACGTGATGGTGTGTTTAGTGATATTACGGAGTTAAAATACTTCACATGTAATATTAGTGGAAGAACACATATTCGTGTTTCTACTACCGCACGCTGAGGAGAGTCATTCAACCTTTACCGCTATTACCGCTATATATTTTAAGTGCTAAGATTAAGCAAAAGTTGCGTTTTTAAGTGCTAAGATTAAGCAAAAGTTTATATAAAATATACATTAATTTAGAACGCAATGAAGTGTTACCAGAGTTTAAAGAAAACATATGTAACAATTTCTTACTTTTTCCAAATGTACAATTTGATACAATATTAATGTTGTAGAAAAGTATCAACATAAAGCAAAGAAATTCATGTAAGTAAATATATATTTTTGACCAGAAGTGTGACCAAGTTTCTTACAAAACGCACATTGAGTGCAGTGAGTGAAGAGTTGGGCAGATATGGCAATTTGACCAAAACATGACAGTTATGATAGTCAGTTGTGTTATGACACATGATATGTGACATTAATTAGTTCTATCCCTCCACCAACAATGTGAAAACATGTTTGGCCTATTCTGAAAGATAAACCATGTTTGCATGTAGTTATGTTTTGTGAATATATTACCAATTTGGCTGTTATCAGTAGTTCCCGGTTTCAGAGTAAATGAAACAGAAAGTTAAATGGTTTCTCTGCGTCGATGACTTGATGTTCTTATCACTCGCTGAAAAGGAGTCGTAAAGTGTTATCCTTTGTCCTTAAACAACATCTTTTTAGGCACGACAGTAACCCTTGACTGGTCTGTGGATTGGCACATGGGCCTTAGGTGCACTAACTAACTAATACTTAAGTCCACATTAGAACTCAGTGCAGCAAAGGTTGGATTGGGTTTCTTGGCTTCCTCTTTGTTTCTTTGTGTTCCCCATATGCTGAAGACAATGTAGAAAGAGAAATTTGATATTTTTTCAATTTTTTACAAATGTGGGTCAAACCAATGCAGTATTTTGGGAAGTTGCAATCTGACCACATTACGTAGTTGTATTTTTTTCACTACAGTTTGTTGTAGTCTAGAATTAACATTGTTCTTCTGCCTCAGATATCAATGACTGTTTTAAATTTACTTTTATGTTTTTTTCTGTTTGATCAAAAAGTCTTTCTTTTTAGAATTTGTATTTTCCCCCAAGCTTTTGTTTTCTGTAGGTACTCTGGTTTTCTCCTGAAGTTAAATGTCTTTATTGTTCAATTCTTAACTGTTTGTTTATGGACTTTTGTCTTTAAATTTGTGTACTCAGGTATTCTAATAAACACGCACACAGAGGCACCTACACACTGAGTTCAGAACAGCTTTACTGTAGCCTTGCTACTTAGACTGATTGCTATGTTTGCTTTTCTCTTAGATTTCAGGTGGCCTTTCTGCCTGGTGATCCTTAGTGTGGTGTTCACTCCACCAGGGACAACAGCAGCGGGACTGGAGGGATGGACAAGTCTACAAGTCCTGCAAAATCTGTCAGAGCATCTCAGGCACGGGGAGCCAAAGCTTTGTCCAACGAGAAGTCAAATAAAGAAGTTTCTGTGCAGAGAGAAGGTACAAAACCTGCAACCACACTTAACAGCAGAGGAAATCCAACAGAAGTTAAAGATGAGCGTACTATAGGTGGTCAGGCAACCTGTGGGCAAGGCAAGTCATCCACAGAGACCCCCCAGGAGAGGAGGAGAGGGCGGCCCTCCAGGCTGACAAGACTGTCAGGAAGAACCAGCTCTGGAGAGAGAGGCAAGACTAGAGTGGCAAACTCACAGCAGCAGCTAACGCCTAAGGATCCTGACTGTAGGCCCTCAGTGTCTGCAGACAGCAGCCCCTCAGCAAAGAGAGACCCTTCCCCTGTAGTACCTGGTACCCCTGAGAGGGGACTCAGAGACCAGGCCAGGAGCTCCATCCCAGCTTCTGCACAGGAAAAGTCCCATGGTTGGTCTATTTGATGTGGTTTCACGCATCGTCATTTTAGCCTCCAATTAAATCCACCTGTACACACCCTGTTTTGTCTTTGCTGTGTGTAGCTGCAGCCTCAATGCATCAGTCTGGCGAAGAAGGGCTACAGGTGAGGGCTATGGTGGAAGGTGGTGGTCTCACTGAGCAGCAGCTGGGCCTGCGTCAGGCAGAGGAACGTCTCTACAGAGATTACATCCACCGACTGCTAAAGGTAAGAAAAATATGACCCTGACCCACTTACAACTTCCTGATTTATTAATATTTGTGGTGTTTTCTTTTTTGTTGAGGCTACCTGACAAAAATAAGTACTCTATTTGTATATATTTGACTCAGCTGGGATATCTTTGTCATCTTTTTAAAAAATGGCTTATGTTTGATGACTCTACTGGTAATGCTGTAACATTCATAATCAAAGACATTTTTTGTGATCCCTGCTTTGTATTCTGTAATAAACTGTTAATGCGTGTTTGTGGATGTTGGTTGGTTGTTTTTCTTTTTTCCAGTAATCTATTATTAGTTTAGGGAAACTAATGTGCATTGCCTGGATTTTAACCCATTGCTCTAGTAATTGACACCACTGAAATCTATGGCTATGTCCTGCAATAAACATATCCATGTATGTAATATGTATATAATGTGTGTATTATATTCACCTCTGTTGTTGACCATAGGTGGTTATTAGCCTTTCTGTTTATTTTATAACCTTGGGGTAAAATTCAAATGAGGTCCACTGAAATGTGTAGTAATGGATAAAACATTTTTGATAAAAATATTTTTTCAGCTATTTGTTCTTTTTAAAATTATGCTTAAAACACCACACAAAATCTTAAACAACTATTTTTTTGCTAATACAAACATGAGCAAAAACTAATAATAAAATATAACGTATATATAAAAAATTATATGAATATTATATAAAATAATACAATTTCTCTGAGGTTGCCAGAAATGTGCGATATCAAAAATCTTGCAAATCACTGATATAGTTTATAGGTGTGGATTATTTTTTTCACATTTTTCTCACAGTGCTTTTGTGTACAACAATTAAATGTTTTTAATTGAATGATGAAGTTAACCTACCAGATTTTCCTGAAATCTGCAGCATTAGTCCATAATTACAGGAAAATATGCTCTGAAGAAATTTCATATTCTTCTTTTTATTATTTACAGCAGTCACCTGAATATCCAAACTACCAGTATTTGTGCAAACTCTGTTCTGTGCACATTGAGAACATCCAAGGAGCCCACAAACACATCAAGGAGAAGAGACACAAGAAGAACATCACGGTATGAGAGTGGAAACATTGTGTTCCTCA